AGTTTTAGTGGTTTAGTGTTAGCTTCCACTAATGTAGTTTTAGTGGTTTAGTGTTAGTTTCCACTTATGTAGTTTTAGTGGTTTAGTGTTAGCTTCCACTAATTTAGTTTTTAACAGTTTAGTGTTAGCTTCCACTAATTTAGTTTTTAACAGTTTAGTGTTAGCTTCCACTTATGTAGTTTTAGTGGTTTAGTGTTAGCTTCCACTAATTTAGTTTTTAACAGTTTAGTGTTAGCTTCCACTTATGTAGTTTTAGTGGTTTAGTGTTAGCTTACGCTGATTATGTTTTTAGCAGTTTAGCATTAGCTTCTACTAATGTAGTTTTTAGCAGTTTAGCATTAGCTTCTACTAATTTAGTTTTTAGTAGTTTAGCGTTAGCTTCCACTAACTTAGATTTTAGCAGTCTAGCGTTAACAGAGTGAAGATTGTTGTTTAGTAGATTAGTGGTTAGTAAAGCTAACTTTTTGGCTAGCTGCGCCCACCAATAAAGTGTTAAAAACATCAGGGAGAGTTCAGAAACTGGATGTTTGTGGGTCTTGGCTGCAGGTTTTACAGAGCTGAGCTGGAGGTAAAAGAGGTGTTTAATCAAGCTCAAATTACCTTTTTAAAGCCACATCAGAGGAACGGGCTTCTGNACCAGCTCGCAGGTCGCTCCGTGGAACTGGGCTTTGTCAGGATTTAGAGAAAAATCCATCTGACACCAGCTATGTGAGGCATCTGTGACTCAACTCACAGGGGCTGGGCTTCACTTTTAAACAGGTTTAATGGAGATATCGCACTAAATATGTTGCTTTTTTATATTTTCTTTCTGTTTGGAGACTGAGAGCAGCTAAAATGACAAACTCTGGTGTAGATTCTGCATCAAAGGAATTGTTGAAGGTCATCTCCTGAGGTTCACGGCTGCACAGCAGTTGTTTTCCCTCCAGATCAGGTCACTTTGTTCACATCCTGCTGCAGGTCACGCTCCACAGCAAACAGAAAAACTTTAGTTAAAACGCTGCAGAACAAACTTTTACCGACACAAAGACTCGTGGGTGGAACGAGATCCTGGGTCCACGAGAACAACCTTTACAATAGGTTCAATCAACAATATAAAATAAAATAAAAGATTTGGTCACAAACTAAAGCGCCTGGCCTCTCAGCCCTTCTCTGCAGAGCTCGGCTCGTCTTAGAAATAAAAACCTGATCAACCTCTATTTTCATC